TTGTTTTATTACTGAAAATATTTTTCTAAGTCTAAGGCTTCTTCTTTATTTTGTTATGACTTACCACAGGAAAATATTTTAATTTGCATGCTATCATATATGAGGGGTCTTCAAAAAGTTCATGGAAAGTTTCATATTATCTTTTAATTTAAAAAGAACATCCCTTTTGACTATTCTTCAGTTTCATAATTATACTATTTTTGTATAATTACTCTTCCAACATATCTTCAAAATTACGTTATCCTATTTAAACAACATCATGATTCTATTGGGAAATGCATTTAATTTAAATACAGTTGATTGTCGTTATTCACAGTAGTTATGCTCTATAAAGTGACCATGAACACTAAATTAGGGAATATTGAACCATTGCTCCCAGGGGAAATACAGGGTTAGGTTCCTACGAGCCTCTGGTCACAATATTTTTGTGAACTAATCCATACATACCCTTATTTTATGTGTGTTTCTGTTTAAAGACACCTTTTAAAATATGTACATTGTTGGGGCTGGCCCGGTGGCGCACTGCTACAGTGCGCCGCTTGGGAAGGGTGGCGGCGCTCCCGCCCGAGGGTTCGGATCCCACATACAGACCGGTTCCCGCTCACTGGCTGAGCGAGGCGCGGGAGCAACACCGAGGGTTGCAATCCCGTTGCCGGTCCCTGGTCCGGTACGGGGGCAACACTGAGGGTTGCGATCCGTTGCCGGACACGGAAAAAGACAAAAAATAAATAAAATAAATAAAATAAAATAAAATATGTACATTGTTGATTCATTAACATTAAACTCATGGTCAGCAGCACTATAAGTCATGCCTGAATGAAGATTACTTAACACATACATTTTCTTATTAAGGCACATCATAGCCTTCTTGTGCCTAGGAACACTAGACAGCACTTCAGCACCACCCTTGGGGGCCATGTGCAACAGTGAAATCAACAACAAAAAGCACAAAAATGCAAAAAACATGGCTCAAATTAGGCTGTGAAAAGGACACCTGTTTACAGTATGAGAGCCGACACAAGAAGGCAGAGCACTGCCAGGTTTGACCTCAGCTGGGAACATGTGCATCTGGCAGCTCAAATTTTCTGCTACTCTGCTCATGTCTGCAAATACTGCAAAAGCACCGTAGTATTGATTTGGGGATCACAAATAAATTTTTGCAAATAGGCGTGTTTGTAAATATAGATTCTGTGAATAATGAGGGTCAACAGTATTAATTTTTTTTTTCCTTTTTGTCTTTTTTCGTGACCGGCAACGGATCGCAACCCTCGGTGTCACGCCCGCACCTCGCTCAGCCAGTGAGCGGCCGGTCTGTATGTGGGATCTGAACCCTCGGTGGGAGTGTTGCTGTGCTCCCACACGGCGCACTGTAGCAGTGCGCCACCGGGCCGGCCCAACAGTATTAATTTTTGAAGCAGGTACATTCTTATGCTAATCTTCTCTTTTAGGAAATTCAAAAGGAATTCTCCTTTTGTTCAGAACCTGTTTTCTGTACACAATGAAATATTGTAATTTTCTTTATGTGGGTCATATCTTTTTTGTTAAATGTTTTTTTCCAGTTAAAAAAAATTTTTTTTACAGGTATTGTAAATGGAATTTTTATAAAACTCTAGCTGTTTATTGCTAGTACGGTGAAGAATGTTGTGCATATTTATCTTTTATTTTTTACCATCACTCAAAGTATATTAATTCTAGTAATTTTTGCTAGAGTTACTCAGGGTTTCTTAGGGATTGACAATTATATTAGCTGCAAATGGAGGTAATTTTGTCTGTTCTTTTTCAGCATTTTAATTTTCTTATTTATTATATTTGCAAGAACTTCCCAAAATATTTAATAATGGTGGTGATATTTGACATCTTGAGTTCAATTATGTTTTTGTAAATGAAAGTATTCTCAGTGTGAACTGTTATATGCAAAGTAAGTGAACCCACATCAAGAGGGAGGAGGCTTATTACCAGGCAGATTGTTTGCTGAATCAGTGAATGAATTCAATAGTATCATTTGGTAATAAACATTAATCTCTTAGAAGATGGTCAGTGCTAATGTGACAACTTAATAGATAATAAGGATGGGTTTTTGCCGATCCTAACATTGTGAACCAGTAATATTCCACATTCTCTTCTCCTAGATCAGCCATTGATCAGAATCCCTGGACTCATCAATATTTAGGCTAAAGTGAAAATTATTATATAAGAAAGTCATTTTAGGAAACAACTCTGCTGTACATGGAGTAGAAGGAGCATAACACGTCGACATCTAAAGAACCTTTAGTTGACATAGCCCTTGCAATTCCCTTTCTTCATCTTATCCTCACGAATACTGCACTGCAAGTAGGAAGGACGGGTTATCCCTGTTATCGGGTGGAGAAACTGAGTCATAGAAAAGTGAAGTGACTTCATGTTTAAGGAGCAGCAAGGAGAGCCTGAGGCTGCTGAGGAACAGTTTGGAGGAGAGGCACAGAGGAGGACTAAGAGCTGGTGGGGAACAGGGTTTTTAGGGCCAGGCTTAGGGTCGTTAGAAGGACTTTGGCTTTCTTTGAAGATGCGAAGCTATCAGAAGGTTTGTGTAGGGGAGAGATATGATATGACCAAATTTTGAAAAGGATCACCCTGCCTGTGGCACCAGGAGTAGAGAAAGGGAGACCAGGGAGGAAGCAGGAAAACCAGTTAGGAGGTCACGACAACAATGCAGGAGAACGAGGATGACCGAGACGGTGGCAGCGCAGATAAAGAGACTTAGGGCTTGGATCTATTTTGAAGGCACAACCAACAAGATTAGCTGATGGACTGGATTGTTTAAATAGCGTTATGAGCCAGGTATTAGAGTTATGAGGCTGAGTGAAAGCAGATTCCTGGATAGAGCTTTTAGCCAAGTGGGAAGACAAATGGCAATCAGATAGTTACACAAATAAATATATAGTTACAACCTAGGACAAATCCTTTAAAATAAAGGTTTTAAGGGGGGCAGAGGGATTTGGCCTAGTAATATGGGTGGGGCAGAATCAGGGCTGGAGCACCGAAATTGGGGGGAAGAAATGAAACTGGAGAGGTTATCATGGTGCACCGAAAGTGCAGAACTTCTAAGTCATGTTACAACATTTAGTTTTTAGCTTAAAAACAATGGAAAGATAACGGAGGGATTAAAGGAAGGCATGGGAGTTTGCAGGAGATGGGCAGTGAGAAAGGCCATCGTACTCGTGTTAAATACATGTAAGAGATCAGATTGGCTCCAGCGGCAAAAAGAAATGCAAACGAGTATGGATCTTTGTGTTCTGACTGAGGATGTAGAAATTTAGACAAGATCTCAAACATCTAATAGATCCAGATAACTGATTGGCATGTTTTATTGTTACTTTCCTAAGGAAAGGTGAAAATAAGTAGTCTGAAGAAGAAAAATGAATTGGTGCCTGATATCCTTGTTTTTATTTTTAAATGTAAATTCTTTGTGTAATATTAAAGATATACATCAAGGGCTGAGCCCGTGGCGCACTCGGGAGAGTGCGGCGCTGGGAGCGCAGTGACGCTCCTGCCGCGGTTCAGATCCTATATAGGGATGGCTGGTGCGCTCACTGGCTGAGCGCGGTGCAGCTGGTCTCAAAAAAGGACAAAAAAAAAAAAAAAGATATACATCAAGGGCTGAGCCCGTGGCGCACTCGGGAGAGTGCGGCGCAGGGAGCGCAGTGACGCTCCTGCCGCGGTTCAGATCCTAGATAGGGATGGCTGGTGCGCTCACTGGCTGAGCGCGGTGCAGCTGGTCTCAAAAAAGGACAAAAAAAAAAAAAAAAGATATACATCAAGATGATATCCAAATTCTCCAACTTATATGTTAACAATCTGCTAGGCAAATGTGACATGGGAATAATAAATGTCATCTAATTGTGAGGTCATTATGTACTTTTTCCTTTAAAGAGCTATGAAGTATATATATATATTTGCTGGTGGACGTCTCAAAAGACACTAGGGAATTACAAAAGATATCAATAAATGAATACCAATCTGATTTAAACTAATCTATTCTTATACTCCCAATAGGTAAAATGAGAGTGAATGGATCATTATTTTCCCCTCATAAGTGTGATGACATGAACACAAATAAATAGTATCTCTTTACTTTCTGCTATTTTAATTATGAAGAAGTGGCTAATTCAAAAATTAAGGTCACAAAGACTTTTCTAAAGTCATCTTAGGTTGGTGATCAGGTATGTGATGTGTTGGCAGGGTGTGCTGCTCCAGAGCACAATTTGGCATTCTGAATTTTGAGGACTCACAAAGTTCACAACTTTTCATCCAATGATTTTACTTGAGTGAGTTTATCTTAATAAAATAATAAAAATATGCAGAAAGATGCATATATGGAGATGTTGACTACAGAATTTGGGGGTACAAAATTTGGAAATAGCCAAAATGTTCAGTGATAAGGGATTGGTTTGTGCATTATGGTGCTTCCTTATAAGGATAAAAGTAAGGCCATTAAAATTTTTTTGAAAACTAATGACATGGAACATGCTCTCCATTTAATGCAGGTGAAAAGAAGAATGAAAAATTGTATCTATAGCCTAATCCCTGTTTTAAAAACACTAAAATATGAATGGCACTCATGAGTGGCAGGATACTGAGTCTTTCTTCTTTTTGAAAATAAAGTATATTAATTCTGAATTAGGCTTTCAATGGCAAACCAGCAAAAACTAGAAATATAGAACAAAGTTATTCAAATTCTCTAATATTAAGTATCTTCTGTGTCTTTCTGATGCTTTTAGTGGTAGGAATAACTCTAAAAAATTGTACGGGTCACTAAAAGGCATTGTTGCTTTGTTCTACTTTAAAATTAAAGTTCATTTCTAGAGAGAAAAAGTGACTTAATCCCTCCCTCACTTCCACATCCTGGCTTCTGTAGGGTCATCAGCATTAGAAAAGCTGCTGCATGTGCCCTGTGCTGGCTGTGTAACCCAACACCCAGGTCCCCTGGGCTGCCCTTCTGCGAGACTGTTTTTCACAGACACTCACCTGGCCTTTGCATGGTTAGCCATGACCTTTGGATTCATCTGGTCCAGCAGCCACTGCCTTCTCATAGCCTCTTACCTCCTACAGCGCCCTTGGAGCAGGTTGTTTCTGAGGGTCCTGAGGACGAGTTTTGTATTCTCTTTTGTGGACATCTGCTGAAATGGCCAACATTAAAAAAGGTGTCAGATCAGTCTAAACACAATCTTCTTTCCTTACTTCAGTGGACTGGCCACCATGAAAGTTTTTGAAATTATTTCTCTTACTTTCATGAGTATGTCTTCAGAAAAACAATCTTACTTCTTTACCCCTGAAATATCTTCATATTCTCTCTGTATAAACATACACATAGCATAAACTGCCAAATTAAATACCTCCCTCAATAACTCCCTCAATAACTCCTCTTCTTTAGAGCAACCCCGTAATTCGGATTTTTAAACCTAGAAGAAGGTATGAAAGAGAACTAAGTTTACGGTTGCTAAAATTTGGGGTTGTTGGTTTCTTTCAGAATTTGAAGATAACTTGCAGATTTAGCTCTAAAAAATACTCATACGTTTAATTCTGTATGCAATTTCAGTGGGTTCACGGACCACCTGAAGTCCATCCATCCACCCCATGTTAAGAGCCTCCGTCTACCAACAGGAAACAAGGAAGGAATGAGATGCTTCATGAAAAGGTTTTCAGCACTTGAAATTTGAAGTGTAATAACAAGGTGACCACATGGTGTCACTCTAACATCAACAAGCTCCATGCTTTTAGAAACAGGAAAGTAGATCATAGGCCAATGAATCTGAAGATCTGGGTTAATACAGTTTATAGTACGGCAATGCCCACTGCAAATTATTTGGCAAGATCCAGGCACTTGGCTTTTGTGGACCATTCACGTTAAAGAGAAAATGAAGGAAAACCATCCTTGGCAAAGGTAATTAATCAACATCCTTCACTATTGTGGTATTTAAGGGGATGCCATCTGCATGGGGAAACTGATTTATAGGAACTTACTGATGAAAAGAAAATGTTCTTTCTGGGAAAAATTAGATGCTTTTTGCTTAGAATGTACTATTCTATTTCTCTTTCTCTTAGAAATATCTGAATTCACTTGCTGGACACATAATTTTCTTAAAAAAATTCTAAAGGCAGCTGTGAAATCTGATCTTTTCAGACAGAACTGAGATAGTAATCTTTCTGTTTTTCCTAAAGAAAAAAAAAATACTTGAAATTTAGAGCTTGGGAAGAGACATGGTAAGACAAAAACAAAAACAAAAAAATCCCCTAAAACTTCTCCAGAATATTCTAGCAAGTAGAAGCTTTGTCGCATCATTTTTACCAAACCAGAGCCCTTTTCTTTTTCATCTGTACCCATTTCCAATGGCTCCCCCTCTAACTCCTCACAGATATTTTCTAGTACACAGTATGGAATCAAAGGCTTCAGATTGGACACTGGCCTTTCTTGTCACCAAAAGATTTTATTAAAATCTACAATGTAAAGAGAGCATATTTACATTGAGAGATACTTATGGTTGTATTTGCCATTTCCTTTGTCTTAAATATTATAATGTATGACAGGAGCAGAATCTGTAATTTTAGTAGAGGGAAGGTTTTTTAACGGCTATAACTTACGCTGACTTGATTAACGAACAGTTTGGCACATTACATTAGGTGTTACCTGAACGCAGTGCTCAATTACAGGATGAGACTTCTGGTGGGACTTGCTGTGAAGACCAGATAAGAAACACACCTGGCAGATGTCAAAGTTGAGACACTTCAGCGGTATCTGCCAATTAAAATAGAAGTGCAGCTTATGTCGTTACTAGCAGGTGAGCAAAAAAATAATATTTAGGTGGAGAATTAGTGTCCCCAAATATTCAGGAGATGTCTGAGCTGTCAGGTGAGTATAAAGTTTCTCCCAAACTTTATAGGGATATTGAATGACTCTGATGTGTTTATTTAAACAAATAAATCTTCTTTTAATAGTATTTTTATATGGCATTATATTAATATGGTTTTATCCAACAAACTAGACTGATTTATCCCTCCCAAATACCAAGTATTCTCTCATGCAGAGTACTACATGCTACAACCCTTAGAATAAACTCTTGAGTTTGCAGCCACATTTTGTGTAGCTGCACAATGCACTCAAACATTTTGAATTTAATTGCCAACTTAGGAGATTTCAATAAAAACAAATTCTGGATTCTCTTGAAGCTGAGTATATACCCAAATGAATGGAAAACATCATGTTGAAGAGATACTAGCACCCCCATGTTTATCACAGCTCTATTTACAATAGCTGAGAGTTGGAACCAACCTAAATGTCCATCATCAGATGACTAGATAAGGAAAATGTGGCTTACCTACACAATGGAAATATTTACTCAGCTATAAAAAGAACGAAATATTGCCATTCACAGCAAAATGGATGAACTTAGAGAAAATCATATTAAGTGAAATAAGCCAGGCACAGAAAAAGGACTACTGTATGTTCTCACTCATAAGTGGGAGCTAAAATAATAAACATATAAACAAAAGATAGAAAGATACAACATTCACAATAACATTGAACTTTCAAAAAGACAACTGAGGTTTCAAAAGGCGGGAAAGGAGGGGAAAGGGAAGAATGGGTGAAGAGCCATGAATAGCAATGATAGTGTATATTATTAAATATAGTAATTATTTTGATGTGAGCACCACATATTGCACACGAGTATTGATGTTCAACTCTGTACCCCACAGATATGTATAATCAACTTTGTTACAATAAAAAAAAGAAAAAAAGAATAAAAAAGAAAAATTTCAAGGTATGATCATATTGGACCTGTATTCCTGCATGGTGTTGGGGAAAATTAAAACATAGATTAAAAATGTTAAAATAAGTTTTTGCAATTTTCTGGAAGTCTGTATGTAGGAAAGAAATAAAGTGGGGAAGAGGGGGAGTTCCTTACCAGCCAAAAGCTGGTGACCACCACACCCAAGTTTCTTGACACATCAACATTGGATATTTTCTTTTATGAACAGTTACAACCTTAAATCTCCATGTGGTCAGAAGGAGAAGAGAGAATTCTGAAATACTGTGGTAAGGAGGGGTGTCTCATTCACTTGTTGTGAAATCAGGGGAGGGCTGGTGAGACCTTGCAGTCGTCAATTTGTAACTTTTAAGGACATTTGAGTGGGATCATGTTGTTTGCTTGTAAAACATCAGGGATCTGTACTTCTTTGTGTGATATTTTAATTCTCTCCTCTAACTGCAGTGGATGTGGCCTAAAGAAATGGTGACAGTCTTCACAACTGGTGACAGTCGGTGAGGACAATGTGGCAGCTGCTCCTTTAGACTGGCATGCACTCTTCAGCCTTCCACAGTCCCTACCTGGCCTACAGCCCTCATGTACATCCTTGCCTTGTCCCCGTAAGCATCCGAGTTTCCAACCCCTGCCTTAAAAGTTACAAAAAAGAAATATGACAAGATTCCAACGCTCTTCAGATTTTATATCTTGCTGCAAAAATTTGACATAGAAGCTTGAGGTATTAACTAGCAAAATTAGGTGATACGTGATTAAGTGTCAAGTGAGAGGCATGGAAAATTAGTTCTACGGGAGGGAGAGGTGGAGATCCCTGCGGGCTGGTATGGTCCGAAAAGTTTTCATGGAAGACGTGATCCACACTATCCATGGAAGGCTGGGCTGGGGATTACAGCAGAGGAAACCCCAGCTAGAAAGAAGAAGAGGCATAAAGTAATGGAGACTGGGCTGGGCAAGAAGGGGTAAGAGGGCATCAAATCTATCAGACCTCCTAACTATCTGGAAGAACAGAGGGGGAGAACTTGGAATGCCCCTGAGGCCAGATGGCAGAAGGTCTCAACAGTCTGACCAAAGTCACCTGAAGGCAGAGAGGGAGAATGTGAATGCCATGTACCAAGCCTAGCTACCCTCGTTCACGGTTGTATTTCCAACACTGAGTCCCATGGCCAGATATTAATAGTGTTGAATGACTTTAACAGCAGCTAATGTTTTTGAGCACTTTCTACACACAGGCTGTGTGCATGTGTTGACACAGTTAACCCCCATGGAAGTTCTTTCACGTTAAGTTATTCTACTATGATGCTCAGTTTACAGATGAGGAAGCAGAATCAAAGAGTTTAAGTAACTTGCACAAAGTTACACAACTACTTAATAAGTGGTAGAAGTATGTTTTGAGCCCCAGGATACTATCTGAATCGAGAGCCCGCTGTTTTAACCACTGTAATAGATGACTAAGGCAGGAGGCTGGAGTTGAAGTCACACGCCACCCTCACTAGCCACAGTAGCACTAGCAGTTGGATTGGGAACTTGAGCTCACTGTTTTGGAGGATGCCTGTTACATGGTAGGTTTTCAATGAGCATTAATTGAATGAAGTTGAATTCAATTAGTTTTATCAACCAGAAAATGGGGCTAGTAAACCCTGCCCTTCTGGCCTTGCAAAATTTGTACAAAGCTTTAAAAATAATTCAACACGCATATGTGGGTAGCCATTCACTTTTTCAGTGAAGTGTATAACATAATAAACTATTCTTTATAAGGATTATTGGATGAACTTTGTCCAGCACTACCATACAGCTGCACTTGACTTATCTCGGGCAATATGCTGACTCTATCCTTGGATTTGTTTTTCTCTGCTCCAAAACTACCTGCAGGTGTGTGAGAAAGGTTGTCGTATGGGTAATGACATTGGTCTGTTGTTGATGCTTTTACCAGTACAGAACCAGGGTTTTCTCTCAAGCTCATCTCAGCCTTACATGGCTGTTACAGAACATAAATGTGACATGTCCTTTTAAAATATAAATCTTGGATTAGGGACAATCTAAGGTCTTGGCGCCTTCTCTTTCTTTAGAAGTCTGCGCCTTTGCCATCTTCCCGCTACCAGCAGATCTGTGAATGCTTCTGCCCTGAAATAGCTTTATTCATCTCACTAAAACCAAAGCTATTGCTTGAATTTCCTGAGAGCCAAAAACACAAGCTTAAAGTTAGGTCCGTAATACATCCAAGCAATTTTTAATAGACTCAGCAGAAGGTTGGAGCTAAAAGAAGCCTCTGACATCATCTGATCCACCTCTCCTTATTTTACTGAAAAAGAAACTGAGGTCCAGAGAGGTTTAAAGCCTTGCCTAGGCCACTCAGCCATCTGTATATATGGGACCTGTGCATTGCCTTGGGTGTCTAGGAGGAAAGTCAGTTCACACAGAGGCATTTCTAAGAGGAAGCTTCATCTCAGTATCAACAAATTGGGGCATATTCTAAAACGTAAGAGTGTGGCACTTCTTGCCTTCTGTCTTTGTTATTTTTTGGAGTGACTTAACAAGTCACTCAAACTCTTCAAGACTCAGCTCTTGCCATCTATAGAATAGGGATAATGATATCTTCATTAGGTTATGCATAATAATTTTGAAAAAATATTTCAATGTAAAAGTATTTTATTTAATTAATTAATTAATTTATTTTTTTGTCCTTTTTTTTGAGACCGGCCACACCACACTCAACCAGTGAGCACTGTGAGCGCACCAGTTATCCCTATATAGGATCCGAACCCGCGGTGGGAGCGCTGCCGTGCTCCCAGTGCCGCACTCTCCCGAGTGCGCCACGGGCTCGGCCCAATGTAAAAGTATTTTATATAATTGCAAAGTTAATTCTGTAGCTGGTCCAGTGCAGCACATGCAGGAACTCCTTCACTAATACTTGCTTATTGGCTAAATATTATAATAGAATCATGGTAAATCAGATTCCTCCACCGTCCAATATAAAAAGAGGTTATTTTTCATTGCAGGGTTATTTCTTTGGTCCTGCTTGCTTGGTTTCCAACAGCCCTGTCCCTTTCCATGTTTTATTGTTTAAAGTTCAGTTATTTGCAGAATTGTTCATAAGCCAAGGCTCACTGTGTCCTCCAAATTCTCTGCAAATCCACTTCATTTTCTCAGTGAAATTAAAACCTGACTTGCAGTTGTTTAGCGGCCCAGTGGACCTATTTGATATCTGTGGGGTATTTAAGGCTAGTTAAGGTCAGGAAGTATGAGAGGGGAAGGGAACAAAGTAAGCGAGAGCCAAGCCCTGAGGCCTCTTGGCGCCTTCTCTTCTGGGCCCTCCCCCCAACTCTGACTTGTACTTAGCCACCTGGTGCCCCAGAGCTTCAGTCCTACCACCTCCCCAGCTCCTATACCTGTGTCCACTCGCTATGAGAATGAGATCTCCCTCGCCTGGTCTAGACCCGGTGGTTTCCTTCTCTCTTGCCCCCGCCTTTCATGATAACTCTAACGTTACTTCCTTATTGTTTTATCGATGGGAGACCTGCAGCTCTCTTTCTTCAAGATGGGTTTTTGACTGTCATTTTCAAAGCTGTGGGAAGATCTGAATCTTCCACTCCAAAAGTGGCCCGAGTTGCTCTCACAAATGCTGATCATTCCTTTGAGCCTGAGACCTTGTTCTCAGTTGTCTGCACAGGGAGGCAGTAGAGCAATGTGGCTGCAAAGCAGCGACTCTGGATTCAGGCCACCAACCTCCGCCGCTGCCTAACCATGTGAATTTAAGGAAGTTATTAAATTCTCTGCAAATTGGGGATAATAATACCACCTTTTTTACAGGCTTATAACACATTTTAACTGAAGTGGTCCTTGTGAAGCACTCACCCAGCATTTGTTTAACACTTAACAAATGTAAACCATTGTGATGATGATGATGATGACGATTATTATCACTGTTGAGGATGCCAAAGTATCTAAAAGTGTTTTTTTTTTTTTGAACAAAAGACAAACTTTTTCCCCTTAGAGGAATAAACTATCTACTTGTCAGTGTATATGCCAGTGGAAGAATTTAATATTCCATCAATTATAGAAGATAAAATACAATTTATTATCAATCAGATGCTTCATGCAGGGAATTATTGAGCCCAAAATGTCAACTGAGTCCCAGATGTATGAGAACCTTGAAAAGAATCTGGAGAGACCCAGCTCTAACTTTAGACTCACCTGGAGAATATCCATCCACAAAATACCATGCTGACTGTACCTCAGTCCAGTAATTGGGAAGGTCCTGCAGACACCACACCAAACAGGGTGAGTGACCATTTCAATAGCTGATAATCGGTAGCAGGTTGGGAGCCACAGGAGGATGGGAGGCTCGGACTGCACCCAAGATGGAAATTTCTCTTCTTTGATTGCTGGGCTGAACACCTGAAAAACAATGGCACACTAAGATTTGTTTTTAGGCATGACTTTGTATTTTCACCTTCTTTTCTGGCTCTATTTCTGTCACCTCTGCAGAAGTTTATCATATGAAAGAAACGTCAGAGGTGAGTCTACCTTCTATATTCGGTTGTCTGGGATGCTGTGTGGAATAATAACAGGTCTGTAATTTACATCTGTCAGCAAACGGGGACGTTTGCACGGCACTCACCCCTTGGAAACGGCTACGTGTAGCACTTTCCACAGAGCACAGACCACTACTCTCCCTCACAATGGTTGGGATCTGCAAGAGACAACCTCATGTCAGCTGTTAGAAAATAAAGAAATATGTGGCCACCAGAGTCAGCCTGCCTCAATGATGATGCTCAGAGCCATGGGATCCCAAGTGTTTGCTACCTGAGACCAGGTGAACTGTCTCCACACAAGCAAACATGAAATATGTGGGTTTTCTGCAGCATTCGAGCTGAGACAATAAATGAACAAGTGGGAAGAAGAGAAGGGAGAAGGATAAGGAAGAAAAGTCTGGCAAGGGGTCCGGAAAGGGGCTGCTGTTTCGCTTCTCATGTTCCCAAAATATTCTTACCTTCCTTTGCCTGGGTTTACCTGTGAAATGCAGGTCACAATGATACTGTACTAAAGTTTAGAGTGGTTTTAAGGAAAACCGTTTCAAATGCTTTCCCATCATCTCATTTTAACCAATGTCAATCTCTGAGGTAGGGCAGTAATCATCTTTGTTTAAAGCAAGGGGTGAAAGGAAATGACGAGTATGTCAAAGAGATATCTGCTCCCCCATGTTTATTGCAGCTTTATTCACAATAGCCAAGTTATAGAAACAACCCAACTGTCCATTGATGGATGAATGGATAAGATGTGGTGGATATACATACGTACACACGCACACATATGCACACATACATGCACACAATGGAATACTGTTCGGCCTTAAATAAGAAGGACATCATGTCATTATCTATAACGTGAATGAACCTGGTAGACAATATGTTAAGTGAAATAAGCCAAACACAGAAAGACAAATACCATATGATCTCATTTATATGTGGAATTTAAAAGAGTTGAACTCATAAAAACAGAGTACAATAGTGGTTGGCAGGGGGTGGGGAAAATGGGGAGGTGTGGGTCAAATGTTACAAACTTTCAGCTATAAGATGAGTAAGTTCTGGAGATCTAACATAGGCATGGTTACAATAGTTCATAATACCATGTTGTTTACTTGAAGTTTGATATGAGAGCAGATTTTAAGCGTCCTCACCACCCCCACACACAACATGGTAACTGTGGGTGCTGATGAGTATGTTAATTAATTTGACTGTGTTCATCACTACCCAATGTATATGTATGTCAAATCATTACATTGTACACCTTAAATAGATACAATTTTTATTTGTCATTGGAATATTTTTAAAAAACGAATAAAGCAAGGAGTGATTGAAATTTGATATTTTGCTCAAGGTCAGAAAAGCAAGTGAGCCGTAGAATTGGGGTCTCACTCCAGGACTCCTTGCTGTTTGTTGAGGGTTTTCACAAAGCTCTGTCCCACCCGACCTTACGAATACTCCGATGGCTCGGTCTATGCTACCTCACACAGTGGCTTCCCTCTTTCGACCGCAGTCACCATAAGGAATTTATTTTTAATTTCTTGCAGCTGCCTGATACAGGGACCAGAAGGAGTTTAAGTGACTAAGAACCCCCTGTAACTGCCAAGATGGCCACGGACTTGGCTCTGACATCCCCTGTCACCTCCACTTAGTCCCCCTTGGTCATGGGTCCTAATTTCACGTCTGATGTTTTTTACAGCACAGGCTGTCAGCAGGCATTGCCTGTAAGCTCAGAAGTAATCTCAAAGACCCCCCCACCTGCTGAGTCCATCAACTCAAATAAACATTCCTCTAATCAGGAAAGTGGCACTTAGAACCTCTTTGCTGACAATTAGCCAGGCAGAAGTCAACAAACATTTGCGTAATAGCGCCAAGATGGCTTGTACTTTAAATTGATAATAACCCGTCACCAGTTGAAGTAAACAGCTACTCCCTATGTTATATGGCCTTTGTCAGAAAAAATAACTCATTACCCATCTTTCGACCTGTGAGTGCTGATAAACTAACAAGACCACTTATTTAGACTGTGCTGCTGATTCAACATTTGCTCTCCTTTGGTGTCAAGTTTCACTTCATCTGTAGAACAAGGGAGGTGAATAACATGGGACTGACTCACTAGCTCTGTGATTCTGAACACCAGTGAAAAGAAAATTCACTTCTGTAGTGGGTTTTAACCTACATTTTTGCATTTAAGTGAGCGCATAAAAATTTTGTGGATTAATTGCCCATTTGACTAATTTCTTGCAGGTGTTCTACGGAAGAATTAAACGTGGCTGAATGTCATGCTGGCACCAGCAGAATGCCACTTGAAGAGATAATTAGGATACTTAGGGGAGGATTTGAATCGCATGGCGAGGCCTGACATTTTCTATGGGAGTCGATCTCTGAGTCCATAATGGAAGTCAATGGGATGATAACTTGCTATGCAAATCTCTACCTTCCTAGCAGTTTTCTCAGGAGCATACAAATGTATGGGGGGAGGGTGGGTTGGGGGGTTGTGCTGCATGAGTTGCCATTCCAGCAGTTCATTGACCCCAGTTGAACCTGGAATAAAGGCAGATTTTTAGGGTCTCTCGGACTGGGTGCTGGCCTGGAGTCAGCAGAGAGCACAAGGAATTCTACAGAAGGAAAATGCCCCTCAGTCCATCTCCTTTCATCACATCCACTTTCTAAACACACTAGTCTAACCAATCTGATTGCATAAACGGATGGACATTTTCCCACCAGCTTGAGTCCTGAGATGTGAGATTGTTGGGGAAGAGCCTCTGCTATGGGCTCTCTGAGACATGCCTGAGAGACAGCAGAAATCTGGTGATGGTATCTGAGTAGAATCTGAAAAAGAACAGGTTGGAACCAACTAGAACAGTTTGGAAGTATCTATGCCTATTTTAACCTTAGAAATTAAAAAAAAAAAAAAAAAAACCTCTCCATTTAAGAAATACAAACATCTTAAATATTGTTTGGAATTCAAGTTAAATATTAATTATTGTGATTAACATGAACATAAAGTATTATTATTAAGACTATTAACTCAAAACTGAATTTGAGCTTTAGATGCCTCCATACGAGTGGTATGTAACAAACTGCAACCTAACTTAGTAAGCAAACAGACTGAAAACCTAATTTAGGAATTTTCCTTTATAAGAAATAAATGAGTCTCAGCCAGTCACAATAGCCAAGCTTCAGTCAGTGGCAGAGAGAAAACCGTTCAAATGAGTTTCCATTAAGGCAAACGCTGAGCTTTAACCAGTCAAGCTATCTCTGTACTTCCCTTCTGTTTTCTGTATGTCACTTCCCTTTCTCTGGCTATAAATATAACCTGCACATGTGGTGGTGAAGAGCATTCTGAACCATTTTTGATCCAGACTGCTGCCTGATTCTAGAACTGCAAATAAAAGCCAACTAGATCTGCAAAACTAGATTTGTTGTAATTTTGTCTTTTAACAGGACCGAATCAAAGCATGGATAATTTCGGGTAGGTTTTCCCAAACCATACCTCCTATCTCAAAGATTTTAATAATCTTCCTCCTTGCCCTCCCCTTCCCCATCATGCCTATCTCAGTTTCTGAATCCTTGGTCCAGACCCAGGGGAAAAATGACAGAAAGTTACTATGGCTTTCCAGTGTAGAAAACCTAGTTTGGGGATCTTACAGGGGCTGCAAGTTCAGAGACATCCTTCAAACAAGAGTAAAGGTATAGTGGGACAAAAACCACTTCCATGCAAAACAATCTGGAGCCTGCTTCATCCATCTGCAGAAGTTTTTGCTTGGTTACATCATTTCAACTTTTAAGAAACAAGCAAAGGAGCATGCCCAGGGTCCTGAGGCCAGGGACCATGGGCCACCCTGCCCCTGCCCACAACCAGGAAAGCAACAGAGCACACCTGGGGTCCTGAGGCAGGGGCCATTGGCCACTGCCCCCACCAGCAAGAACATCTCAGAATGCATTTATTAGCCACGTGTGTTTCTTTGGGGTGTGTGACTTGTCTGCTCATGTCCTTCACCAAATTTCTAAGATTTTTCTAATTAATTTTTAAGGGTTCTTTATTCATTAAAGATGTTAGTCTTTGCATGTTAAATTTGCTCCTTATCAATTGAAAAAAAAAATAAGAAACATTTACTATAAGGAGGTTAGAATCCTTTATCTGGAAAGGATAAAAACAATATCAAATTTGCAGATTCTTAAAACATAGGAAAGGATGGAAATCATAACGATTTGAGTATTCAGCCTTGCATTTCATCTATGCATGCGATGAAGCATTTGTTGAAGTCCTTTTAGGATCAGGCACCATTCGAGGCACTGGAGGTATCAACATGAGTGAGAGACAATTCCTGCTCTTGAGAAACAGTCTAGTGGGGAAGTATGTAGAATAATGCAACAAGTGCTGTAACAAAGTTGAACATAGGGAGTTAAAGAAGCTTTGAGTGAGGAGGTGACTAATATTTGAATGATCTTGAGAGATTAATAATGTTTGTCAGGTGAAAAGATGGGCAATGGTGTTGTATGTAGATGGAACTGAGGAAGTGAGGCATAGAGAAGTTGGTGCTTGTCAGGCACAGTAAGGATAGGAAGGATTTTGATATGCAGGAGTAAAAAGGGTATAGGAGGGTATGGTAAAATTAAATACCTTGGAATAAGCAAAAGAGACTACTGGATATCTTTTCCATGGTGATTATTGTAACCTGTAGAGGTATCACTGCCTTTGACCAGGCTATTTTACAACTCTGCTGAGATTAACGTTAACTTGAAGTGGACTGATAGCGACGCAAATAATTCTTGTCTTTAGATATGTGAGTGTATTCTGTGCTGGGGGAGGAACAATCCTCCCCTTCCTCCAAAAGCCAGTTTTACATCCACCTACTAAAGAAATTCTCTTTAATATTCCTAATCTATCAGTTTATCTGTTCTTTGTTTTGTTCCTTTCAACTGTTTGTAACATCTTGCAGGTGCCTTCCTTTAATTAATAAATTAAGTAAATGTTTTCATACATGTTCCCTTTATATTCATATGAGAACCATGATTTTACTTCTTTTTAAAAAGAGAAGCAAAGCAAGACATACAGATGGCCAACAGACATAAAAAATGCTCATCATCACTCAGCATCAGGGAAATACAAATTAAAACCACATTGAGATATTATCTCACCCCAGTTAGACTGGTTATTATCAAAAAGACAGAGATACCAAATGCTGGTGAGGATGCAGAGAAAGGGGCACCCTCCTACACTATTGGTGGGATTGTAAATTGGTGCAGTCATTATGGAAAACAGTATGGAGATTCCTCAAACAACTGCAGATAGAACTGCCATATGATCCAACAATTCCACTGTTGGGTATATACCCAAAGGAATGGAAATCATCATGTCGAAGGTATACCTGCACTCCCATGTTTATCACAGTTCTACTTACAATAGCCAAGAGTTGGAACCATAAATGTCCATAATTGGACAACTGGATAAGGAAAATGTGATATATATTCAACGGAATACTACTTTGCCATGAAAAAGAATGAAATCTTGTCATTTGCAGCAACATGGATGAACTTAGAGAAAATTATGTTAAGAGAAATAAGCCAGGCACAGAAAGAGAAACACCACATGTCCTCACTCATAAGTGGGAGCTAAACAATGACAACAACAGCAACAACAAAACCAAATAAAAAAAGAAAGATACAACAGTCACAATGATACACTGAACTTTCAAAAAGAGACAACAGAACTGAGTTACCAGAGGTGGTAAAGGGGGAGGAGATGGGGGAGGGGCGGTGAGGGAGGAATTGGTAAAGGGCCATGAAAAACCATTACATTGTATAATGTTGACTATTCTAATTATCCTATTTGAGCATTACATATTGCACACAGGTATTGATATTCAACTGTGTACCCCACAGATATGTACAATTAACTATGTTTCAATTAAAACAAACAAACAAACAAACAAAAAACAAGGAAGAGAAGGATTGGGTTAAATCATGAAAGCTTTGCTTGTGAAACTAAGGAATTTAGGCTTTATCCTACAGACATGAATGGCTAATAAAGAATTTTAGGCATGGGTATGACTTTTGTATTTTGGAAAAGTCACTGGCTGCAGTGTGGAAGAAGAGTTAGAGGCGGGAAACTTGAGCTGGAGAAACCAGTTAGGGCACAGTTACAACAGATCAGACTAAAGTTAATGGGGGCCTATAGTCCGATAATAGCAGTGGCTATAAAGGGGAGAGGTTTCATGGAGAGCTATATAAAGGTAGACTTGATGCTGTAAAAATCAATTTCTTTGACAATATATGTGGCTAATACAACTGAAATAAATTTGGAATTCTTAAGAATTAGGAATTTACCGGCTGTAGATCTGTTAGGAGGTTTTCAAAACCTTTTGAGTCATGCATGCTCCAGAGTCATAATCTCTTCTGTTATTTTCTGCATAGAGCTGAAAAAGAGCTAGACATGTAAGGGGGAAAAGAAATCCTTAAACTGAATACTTGTAATGTATCTTTGAAGAGTATATGCTTTGAATTAACAGTTTCTTTGTGGATATGAAAGGAAAGGGAAGGGAAGTTATATTCTTGGTTAGTTGCTTGCTATTTTGAAGGCCTCCCACACTAGATAATTGGATAATTCATGAAAACCCATTCAGATTTCAACCCTTTGCTAATTCAGCCCATCAATAATGAAGATCATGAGGTTGGTAAATGGCAATGTGTGAATCATCCTGGTCTTTAAAGGAATAGTAAATACTGGTGTGTGGATAATCCTTAAACAAATAAATATCAAGGACAACCAAGAAATAAATAATTAGAAAGCACAGATCTTGAAAAATTCCAAATTCTCCAGATCTTAAACATAGTTATTCAATAAACAAGCAAGTCATGCTGAGTACATGCTGAAAAACAAGAACCATTCTGACAGAGATGTAAGAGTGGGTGGAAAAGATAACAGGTAAGGGATTTGGGAATTACCGCACTTGGGGACACTCAACCCCTACACATATTACTTCTGTATTTTGTAAGAGGGCTGTCCCCTGAGAGGGAAACTAGGGCAGCAGCAGCAGATGAAAGCTTGAGAAAACCCACTCCTGTGCCACATGGCAACAAAACGAAGAGACAAGATTGAGAAGGGCAGGGTTATTCTTGGTGTAGTGGTTTATAAAAACCATGACCATTAATGGATGTTTCTGTTATAGTATTATAAGTTATAGCTTTTCATGGTCTCTTTTCCTATATCTAAAATTTGGCAGAACAGAGCCCTGAATTAAAATATTTCACCATTCATTCATTTGTTCATTTATTCATTCAACAAATATTTACTGGATGCCTCTTCTGTGCTAAGCCCTGTTCCAGGCACTGGGATGCAGGGGTACACCCTGTCTTCATGGAGCTGGCAATCTCACTTCCCCAGGACTCAGCTGCCTGGAAACCAAACAACAGAGACAACAACCAAAAGGCAGGGAAAAAGAGCAAACTTCTATGAAAAAAAAAAAAATCCACCAATTCACAGGCCCTCACTCAGAGCCTATCCACCAATTCACAGGCCCTCACTCAGAGCCTAATCACCCTTTGCCCACTAGCTGTGTAGCTTGCAAACCTACAAAACAATTTACTGAAAGCAGGAGGACTGTTAGAGACACTGATAGTAGAAATGACAGTCAAAAGCTTAATGTTTAAGAAGGCTGAAATCATGAAGAAATAACTCGAGAATGTGTTTCTACATTATTCATGAAATTAAAAAAACAAATAATAAATTAGAAAAGAAAATGACTGTAAGAAATTTGTCCAAGGGTTAAAACTGGTTGCTTCTAGTGTTATGGAATCGACTTGACAAAGAAGCAGTCAGCACTTAGAGGGTTGGAGAGTATTTTATTATGCCAGCGGGCCCAGAAGAGCTAACACTCCAAAATCTGAGGCCCGAGTTTAGGTCTTACAGGGTTTATATAGGTGGACTCTTCTGGGTTCTTTAAGTTTTGCTTTCTCAGCACTCATGTAGCTAGTGCAGTAGCTATTGTGATAAGCAAGCACAGTTTACAGAAGCAGGAGTGCAGAGCAGTTGATTATCAGTAAAGTTGATACAATAAACAGGTTCTGTTTTAAAGGCAAAAGAAGCTACTGAGAGAATTGATTTTGAATTTTTCCAACACTAGAAGGCAGGCTTATGGGTAATATTTCTTATTCTTTACTCTTTTTTTCTACTTTCCAAATGTTTTGTATTTGCTATGATTTTTTAAAACTTTATTTTAAAAGATGAAGCCTGCTGAGTCAAGACTACATAAGGTAAACCAAACTGATGAGGGGAAGAAGAATGTAAGCCCTACGGCTTGGCAAAACATAAACACTTCTCTGTCTACCAGAATCATTGACTCCAGAACAAACATCATCAACCCTTTGAAACGGGCTAAACTGGTTGATAGGTTAGCTATTCATGAACATGCTATTTAACCTTAATCCAGATAAAGCAAAACAAAACAAAAATTGATAATGGATTGCAAAGAAAAGAGCAAACAAATAATCAACCAACAACTCAAGTGTGAAGTGTAGTTTTTCATCTATATTGATGTATAATTGCCTTAGCAGGTGTACAATGCTTCTCTAGAGTGGAAATGAGTTTGTATGAAAGAAAGAATAATGTGGAGTCCCCCCCTTTTTCTTATCCATGGGTCTGTTGGGGCTAAAAAAATGATACCCCAAAGTATGGTGCTTTGGCATGTTGAACACTTTAAATGAGAAGAAATTGGAAGACCTTAGGAGCTTCCTCAGAGCCAAGCACTTTATAAACTTCTGTTGTTTCTCCACCCATCTCCCAGCACAGGGAGGGGCTCTCTCTGGAATTTCCTTATCTGATTGAGGAAACTTCTTTCCAAAAGAAATGCAATTGTCTTAAATCCCCTCTCCAAGAATCTCATTAAATAATCAGGAAAGATTAACCAAGAGAGGAGACTAAAACTCATCACCATACCCAGACAAACATTTCATCTTCTGGTCTGAGGGCAGTTCCAAGATATTACCTAAGAGACTTTATCTGCATAAGACAACGTTTGTTCACAGTGCAGTTCCACCTTCCCTCCATTTAATTTCCAAAGAGAATCATTTACAAACGATTGTCTGCTCATTGGGCACATCAAACTCTCCCCCAAACCAATTATTATCCCTCAAATATGCCTTATTACCCTCCCCCCCCATGAAAAAGGTGCTATTTAAGCTTCCACTATCTGGCCTTTCTTTGAGTCTCATACTTTGTGTGGCTCCTGTGCTTATGTATGTTAATAAAATTGTATGCCTTTTCTCCTGTTAATCTGTCTATTGTCAGTTCATTTCAGCAGACTTGAACCTTCAGAGGGAGAGGAAAAATTCTTTTCATGCCTGCAGGTTATTTATATTAGTGAAGCTGATAATCATTTACTTCTTTGTTCCTCTCCTGAATGAGTAAAAAATTTGTGGAAGACAAACAAACAAAAAGGTTTTCTATATATAAACCTCAAGCAAATATTAGACAGCACCAAATGGTCAATGACCAGTGGCAACTAAACATTGCCTTCGAGGTCACAGTGTGACATATAAACCCTCACCTGTCATACATCATTGTGAGAAGGCTCAGAGTGAGTTCCGAAGCTCTGGGATGCACCTGTCCTGGTTTTTCTGCCCTCTTTCTCTGAAACAGCTCTTGGAGTGCCTGAAAGCTGCTGCACAGAAAGGGTGCTCTCCCTAGCTTCCCAGAAAGGTTGATATAGTAGGACATGCTGGATCAGGGAGCTGTCAATCAAGTCTCCTGTAGGAAACAAATGAAGAATTGAGCCTTATTTTCTGATGAGAATGAAAGCCTGAGAATAAAGCAAATGCCATATAGTGTTTAATTAAGCCTGTCTTTTTATGACAGTTATTTTCTTTAAAGGGAGTTAAATATTCATATAACTGAGACAGGATAGGGCTAGGCCTGTGAACCAAACCAACTCCATTTTCCCTGCAGAAGACATTTTGTTACTTTCCTGCTTCTCAGTCATGAGAACCCCCAGGGAGTATGATAATCCCATGTCCCTGATAAAAGTGATTGAAAGAGACTGATGGGGCATAACCACCCTGATAAAATGAACTGAGATAAGAGGGGAACAGATATTTACTAAGTTGCAAAACCTCTTCCCCAAGGCTTGTTAAAATATAACTGTTAGCTTTGTTTAAAACTTATTATCTACCCATTCTTTATTTTCCTGTAATTGTAAAGTTAAGTTACAGATTAACTTTAAGACTCCTGTAGGAGTTACACACAAGATGCTCCTGGAACCAAACACTCTTGCGACCACTGCAAAAAGACCAGAAACCATCAAAGTGAGATGCCAACATCAATTGAGGAACGGCTTGCCTTTAAAAAGCCCTTCCCCAACTTCCCCCAGGCAGCTAGCCTGACTCCTGCATGCACACAAAGCTTCCAGGTGACTGCGACAACAGCTCTCCTGGGGTAGTGATATCTTGGACCTACTGAGCAAGTGCAAAGACCAAAGCCCTAACTGAGCATGAGCCCATGACACAACCAGGAAGAACTGAGTGGACCACCTCAAGAGGTGCTGAATGATGACATTGGCATGCACCCCTTGTCCTACAAAGGACTCTGAACAGCTTCCCCTCACCTGGTGAGCTTCTTTGTAGCTACTCCCCTTGTGCATAAGTTTATCTCCTCTTTTAACAAAGCATTGCTTGTGTTACTACTGGGTGCATTGTTCATTTCTGTGACTTTGAGACCCAAGAGCCTAATTCAGTGACATAACCACTATTTGAATACATATCTGTTTGTAAAATTCAGGCAATACCATTTTTACAGTTGACTTGATTTTACAAAAGTGCATCTGTTAGTAGAGCATAGTTATCACATTATCATCAGTACAACTTCTAGGGTGTTGTTTTGTAGAGTGAAGTTAAAGGGTAGGGAGTAAGACACTTGAAAAATAAGTCTTCCAAGGAAGTTAAGACACTGGTGAAAAGTTGGGGACAACGTTTTTATATTCTTTATTAAGTGGATTGAGCAAATTTACCTTTCATGTTCAGATATAGTTTTTCCTGTCTGCAGCCTAAAAAGATGGTGTGTTAAAAGCCTAAAAAGATGGTGTGTTAAAATGCAATTGCTGTAGTTAGAAAAGCCCAGAGATTTTAAGAAAAGAGCAGTTGCCAAATTATCAGACTCTTTAGGTCTCACCCTTGCCTCAGAAATATTATTTTTTTGATATTGGGTTCATCAGTATTATTATCTAGAAAAGACACTCAATAAAACTAGAGTTGCTTATAAAAAATAATGGTTGATTTCTTATATACTTTTCACCATCTTCTAAAAATTTTACAAGGCAGTGAGCAGAAAGAAGCATGAAATAGAGCTAACCCTATAGTTTCTTGCAGAGGGAAGACAACAGACACAATTAATGAAAACCCACTTGCACCATCTGAGGTGAGTATGTCAAGAGCACTAAGAGCTGCTGGCATTTAAAACCCTTCAGCCTCTGAAATGATAAAACTCTGTGCTTCTCTCTACTTCATAAATCAGCCTCACAGATAAGAAATCCAGCAAGTCTAATAAAAATTTTTATTTGTCCTCTGATATTGCTTTTAAGGGGAGAGCCTGAGGAATAGAGGAGCAAGTCTTGGGAATGTAACTTAAATAGAAACCTGGCTGCAGGTGGTGGAGGCTGTAAACTCTCCTATCATGATTCAATCACAAAACCTGTCACTTCAGCCGGGCATTCTGAACACAGAGTGTTTCTGTCTTCTGCTGAGAGTTCAGTATTACACCAGACCAGATAAGGTGGTGTCCATTAATCTCACCACAAGATTTCTGTGGTGATGGGCTCCAGACTCTGCTATTTGAAGTTCATGATATGCTTTATCTTAAGGTTCAAGACTTTACCGCTTTCAAATTTTTTGTTTGGATATGTTTTCTAGGTAGAATTTTCATTTACTGATTTTGTGTATTATTATTTCCCATGAGTATTATTTATATTGACTGTTTCTGATGCCAAGGGTAATGAAAAGTTAAAAAATGTACATCCTCAAATTATGCTATTATACATACACCGGCATTAATGATGGTGACTTATATGAACATTTGCTGCTATGTTTCTTTAATGGGAAAATTTCTCCAGGAAAACAGTATAATTGTAGGTAAATTTTTAATGAGAATATTCTGCCTTTTGTTTGTCCTTGGAATAATAATTGTTATAAGTGAGTTTATTTGTCTGGAGCAGTTATTGTCAAAATACTTTTTTTAAAGGCAAAAATTCCTTCTTCAAAGAAACCTGATACAGAAACACAGTGCGGAAAATAGAGACACACAGAACTGTTCTTGCTGGGGACGTGGTCGTTGAGTCTTCCGGCACTGCCTACACTGCCTCTCCCTTCCTTGCTGACTCTTTTGTGCCCTTCTCACACCCATGTACACCTTGTGAAGCACAATTTGAAAATATAATTTTCTAGACAGGAGGAAAAATATTAAAAAATTCAACCCCCAGTAGAAATGTCATATATATAACACAACTTCTTTTAGGTCTTATAGGATAAATGTCGGAAATTATTTCACATGAAGTGAATTTTTAAAAAATGCAATTTAGATAGGCTGAATGCTTGTTATTTTTTATAGCTAGAACACAATTTTTTCATTTTTTTAGAATTTTCACAGAATGTTTTTACTCTGTTTTACCTTATTTTGCCTAGATAACAGTATAAGAAAAAAAAAAAAAACCCGTAACATTCAATCAGGTATAAATTTAAAGAAAAAGGGTAGTTCTCAGGGAAGTCTCAAGATAGTTTTAAGATTTATGGCCCGTGGATTACTCATTTGAAATTACTTTTGCATGTTAAAATATGGATAAGAGGTACAACTTTTTTTGTACTTTTGTTTTCTGTTAATACTGGTTTCCTGAAAAGGAAACCATAAACATGTCTAGAAGTCGAGTAGGAAAAATACAAAAAAAAAAAAAGAATCCTTATCCATAATCATGTTCTGTTGTCAGAGAAGCTACAGGTAGATTGAATACACATTATGCACCCCCAACTCCCCTCCTCCCGTCCTGTCATCTTCTCTGCTACGAATGGGATAAATGCATAGGTCCAGTCTTCCAGAGTCTGGCAGTCACTTGCATGGGAGAGTTTTTGGTTTCTCTCTGAATCTTACATCACATATCAGGGTCAGATTATTTCAAGCCTTTCAAGAGAGCCTGTACTTACATCGGCATAGAGTTTGTACTGATCATAATTTGAAGACTGCTCCGTAAATGGAATTCTCAATACTATTAAGAGCATCTGCAAAGAAAACATGAAATATCATAGATAAAGGATCATCTCATTATAGAAATCCCACATCCTGGAAGGGAATCCTAGAGATCATGCAGCCCCATTTCACTATCCAGGTTAACAAATTAAGAACTAGAGCTTTCTTTTCTACCTGGAAACAAACAATAATGGATTTACAGTATTCTAGGGCTTCAGGTGACCCTAGAGAGTACCCTCTGAATCTAGCAAATGGAGGAGCCCGTCAAAAAGTGGGGAGTACTCCTCCACCAATCTGCCCACTTTTTATATAAAAAAGCAAAGGCCTTATGAAACAAATAGGATAAAAAACTATATGTAGAATATAAACTCAATTTTGTTAATATATTCTAGTCATATGCACACGTATTTATGTATGTGTGAAAAAGACCCAAAAGCTGTCCATCCACTTACGCATTTAGCAACTATTCATTGAGATTTTCCTACAGGGCCCTGGCATGATTCTAGGGATCTGAAACACAGCAGTTACCTAAACAGATGAAAATCCCCTCCTTGTGAGGCTTAACTTCTAGTGTTTCTGAGCACTTACTGGGCACAGAGTGTGTATTTGCCACTTAACAGTGTGGTGGACAAGGGAGATCTCTGGAGCCAGCTATACATAATCTATTCCTTTCTTTTTCCTTTGGGGAAATTAGTTTACTTTTTGATCTTTGCTTTCTTCATCAAACAGTGATTATAATACATTTCTTATGGGGTATCTGCATGATTTAAATAAGAAAATATAGAGAAAATATGGGTAATGCACTTACTAAATTGTCTCTCACTTTTCTTGAGGACCTACAATTTAAATATGTTTCATGAATCCTCCAAATTTGATTTTTATTTGGTTTAAGAGACATGCAACAGTCTCACAACAGAGCTTTTTGTTGTCTAAGACTAAAATGATCACTCTTTGTATCTATAAAAAATGAAAACTACAGAGTAGATCATCCCATTTATTTGTATTGTCTTTAATGTCATTCAATAAAGCTTTATAAGGTCTTAGAAATTAATTGTTTAGTTTATTTCAGGCACTTAAAATTGCCTGCCCTAAATGATTATTGTTGGTATAAAGCAGTGGTCCTCAAAGTATAGTTCCTGGACCCAGCCGCATCAATGTCACCTGGAAACTTGCTAGAATTACAATTTCTAACAAGACTCTACAGTCTTCAACTCCAGACTCCAGGGGTGAGGCCCAGGAACCTGTGTTTTAACAGGCCCTCAAGGTAAATCTGATGCAAGCTAAAATTTGAAAACTACCCGTATAAAGGGAATCTACTGCTTCTGCTTTTTATGATTGATTTTTGAAGGTCTTTGCCAGAGCAGTTTTGTGGAGTCATGGGGTCAAAATCCAATTGCAGAGAACTGTGCAATGACTATAAGGTGAAGAGAAAACATAAAAACACAACTTTTTCAAGATCCTTCATCTGAAGGGAAGACAAGAGAGGCACAAATAGAACAACACAAAGTCAAATTGGTTTTCAAAGGCAGGAGAGATTCCAAAACGTATGTATGGGTCAGGGAGGAGAAGCCAGGAGAGAGGAAGAGGTTGAGAATTCAGAAAGTGGGGGATCTGGGTGGCATTTGATGTAGCAAAATCCCTATCAGAGGGCACGTGTTCCCTTAGCCACCAGCATCCATTCATCTTTCTTCTGATGGACAACCTCCCCCTAATCTGAGCCCACGAAATTCTAGTAGTGTTAATTCCAACTCTCCCATTTCTAAGGCAGGCATGTGGCCAGGTCCAGACCACAGGTGAGTGTATCATCACATTCAGAGCTGAGCACATAACCAAAGCCAGGCAAACAACATGCCAACAAAACTTGGCTCAAGGACTCTTTGTTCAAGTTATCAGGGAAGCAGACTTATTTATTCCTGCTGGACTTGAACGTGGAATTGTGGATTGCAGCAGCACTCTCCTGACAGGGTGGATAGCTTGGGAATGAAACCAACACACAAGAGAGGGCAGAGATGAACTTGGAGATGAAGAGAAACTGCTTCCTGGTGACAGTGGCTGAGCCCAGGGAAAGCAAGTCCCTCCTTGGGTTATTTTATTTATTTTAGGTTTTTAATTTGACAAATAAAAATTGTATATAGTTATTGTATACAACGTGTTGTTTTGAAATATGAATACATTGCGGAATGGCTAATTGAAGCTAATCAACACACGCATTACCTCACCTACTTATTTTTTTGTGGTGAGAGCACAAAATTTTCCAGAATGCAATACGTTATTATTAACTATAGTCACCATGTTGTACAGTAGATTTCCTGATTGGGTTATTAATTACATAAGGTAATAAAGCCTCTTTGAGCTACGTTTTCTGTCACAAGTGACTGAAATATTGCTAACTGATATGTCCCTGAGGTAGAGACTCTGGAAGGGGAAAGATGCACAAGAAAAGGAATTAACTGTGGCAAGAAGTCCATCCCTCATTCCCCTGAGAGGAAAAAAAAGAAGGTATGATGGTGGATGTTGGGAAGAGTTCATGTCTGAGTGTTTCTATTTTCTTCATGAAATTAGGGACATGTTCTCTCACTTAAGACTCAGGAGGAGGTGGAGGAGTAGAAAACTTGAGGAATAGTGGAGATTTGGACTAGTTACAGTGGGGGAGTGAGAGAGGGATCCAATCACAAACTTTAGAAAGAACTGCCAGGATAACAAATTCCAACTAAATAAAGTTTATACCTGTAATGCTCACTCTGAGGCAAGGTGTTTACTTACAAGAAAGCTTTGAACCTAAGACTTACTTGTGTTTTTTTATGTTCGGGGGAAGAAACCTTGAGGAAACTAAAACTACTTTCAATTTTAGTGTTAGCTAGTTAACATAGAACTCACGCAATTGGGAGTAAGAATGTTGGGGGGTTGAGCTTAGTGACTAGAAATGCAGCCAGTTCTTTAGCCTTTGCTAAGCAGGCCCTGAGCAAAAACCGAACAAGGGACTGATCAGGGGATTTCATTGATTCAATCACATGTGGCAGGACAGTTATGGTGGTATTTATCTTTTTCTTGTTCTTGAAGCAATGAAAGAATTTAAAGAATGAAAAGACAGTGCTTCTGCATCCATTCCTGTGTGTGTTCCAAGGTCTAAGCTCTTTCTCCTTCTTTGGCACAGGCCAGGCATAAGCTAAGCCACTGAAGAGGCAATGGTGCTGAACCAGGCTGGACCCATCCTTGAGAACTTAGAGCACCCCACAGGGCTTCCCTAAACATATATTGATTCAATGATCAATATATAATCATGAGTCAAAGACACCTACCTCAGGTGAATGTGAGCTGTACCTAAAAATTGTCACCAAAACAAGAGATCTCATTACGAGCCCTCTACATTTTTTTCCCAATAGGTGAAAGATATCAAAGAACCTACAATTTGCTCTAAATCTTTTGTTATTCAATATTTCTGTATGTTTTAAAAATGCTTAGTTTTCAGTTAAGACTCCAATTCTAGAGAAGGGGAGAAATCAGAAACAACTCTGCCCTATGCCTGGAGAAGGGACACAAATGGACAGCTGATCTAATAGCGTGGAAATAATTTACAAATATGTAATGCCCAAGATATTCTTCCCCTCTGGAAATTGGCCAGTTTTTGTGCCCTGGTTCCTCTCAGATGCACCAAACAGATAGAATCAGCAAACTCGGGGCTCTGCAGGTTCCCAGATGCTATGGTTGGTGCAGGGGCGGCTCTGTGGCTGCCCTGCCATCTGGCCCGTCACACTTCTGTAAAGTTAAGCCATGCAGTGTCATCTGATGAAGTTATGCAGCGAAACATGGCAAGCTGTGTGTAGTGCAATGCGGAAAACGAATGAGCATTCAGTTGTTCCACCACCAGACCCGTTTCCTTAAGGCTTCATTTTAAAATTTTTTCTGATGGTGGGAGAAAACTCAAGGATGGAAGAAATTTCTGGATGTATCAGGCCAAAAGCTATGAACTAAGTAGTTTTAGATGCTTAAAGAAATAACACAAGCCATGTGTATTCTTGTTGACGGGAGCAATTTGATTAGGATACACCCTTTGCCTTCAACGATTCTTCTTTTTGCTTAACTCTATCAATGAATTCATTTTCCACAGATACTAAGATAAATGTAAGCAAAATCTCTTTCAGCTCTCCATCATCTAGTTTGATGATACAGAAATAAATACATTAGGCCAATGATCCTCAAGGTGTGGTCTCAGGCAAGCAGCATCAACATTGCCCAGGAGTGGGTTAGAAATGCACATTCTCAGACCTCAACCCAGACCTACTGAACCACAAACTCTGCAGGTGTAGTCCAGCATTTTGGCAAAGCCTCCAGGTGATTCTGATGCACACTAAACTTGAGAAATACTGCTTTAGGAAGAGAAAATTGAGCTTGGAATAAATTACCTGCTGCTTTGTATTAAGTCCATTAGCATGAGGGCTCAAATTTTGGGAAATCCAAAGATAATTTGAATTATTCATAATGTTGTTTCAGATAAATAACTTGAGATCATACAGAATTTTATATAAAACAAGTAAGGTTAACAACCTAGATTTTAGCTAGGGGAATAAGGCTGCAAATAGGTCCAGCAATAAAAATGTCACAGACCAATCCTGGGCCTAACCTTGTATTTAGAGATGTTGAAAGGGAGGGGAATTAGTTTCTCCATACTCATTTACAAAATATTCATATAGTGACAGCTGTAGGACCTTTCTCCCAACTTTGGGCCCACATAATACTGTGGACTTACATCTGACATTAAAATATCTACAGTGATGTTGTTTTAATAGTAAACTATGAATATAAATAAAAGTAAGATGACACTTTTTGTGTATTTGAATAGCAATTTAAAATGTAATTATACCGATATCAAGTTTTTTGTTACGTTATTTTTGGTGCTGTGGAAACAGCAGAGCAAACATTCTTCAATACATTATGGATTTCTGTTTAGTAGAGAGAGAAAGTCACTTTAATCACTTAATACTTGTAGTTTTTATTTTCTCAGCCAGAAATTTGCCAAATGTGTATTCTTCTGCAACTTAGAGGTCTGAAAATACAACATCTGTGCCTAATTTTTCTGTTTACAAACTATGCTCAGGAACCTGACAATAAAACTCACCTTGTTTATCTGGGTCCATTTCACAGATGGCAAGAGGGTCCTTGTAAACTAGAAATGAACCAATATTTTAAGCAGAAGGTTTTGCAGTGGAGATATGGGGGTGGGGGAACAAAAAGGCAAAAAAACAAATCATTTTACCTGTAGAACAGTGAATACAAGGTGCTCAGGGAGACTGAAATTTCCTGGGAGGATAAAAAGGAGGAACGTAGGGGTGGAGGCTCCGTATACTGGTCACATTTCTCAGAAAGTTGATTACAGCTCCTGGAACTAATTTTGTGAATACGTATTGTTTCAGGTAACTTGAGATCATGCAGAATTTTATGGAAAACAAGTAAGGTTAACAATCTAGATTTTAGCTAGTGGAATAAGGCTATCCACAGATCACATATGTGTATATATGCGCTCCCCCAGCTCTCCCTGAAATCCCCAGGTGGGCATAGAAGAGTCCGGCCTCCCGTCCAGCCAACAGTACAGCTGGAGATACTATCTACCTGCCTCCATGCCAGGTCCTTACCTGTGTTGGTTTCCCCAGGGAAGCAATTTAGTCAAACATTCTGTATAAATGACTCAGCATTTCTGGAATAGGAAAAAGCTGGGTAATAACAGGTTTCCAGATGTGACATTCCTATGAAGAGTTGCTTTCTCGCTCTGACTGACCAGCAGTTGCTTGCAAACCAGTAATGTTTGAAGCTGCACTGTTTTTAAGGGTTCATAGAAGTGCATTCATAAGTAATGAAGATCCTGAATAATTTAAGGCCGCGCCTACATCACTGTTTCAAAGGGCTATTTCTGTATTAGTTTCCTGTGTAGGAGAGGCAAGTAAAACGTCTTCTGGGTGCTATTGAGAGCAGTGGTTACCATAGAGATTAGGAAACACTTTAGAAAGGCTCCATATCTCAGATAACGGGCCACCTTAGGAACCAACCCAGATAAGAGTGACCTAGCAATGGAATCAAGTTCATTTTACTAATTCTTTTACAAATACAGAAGTAAGGCTGCACATTTAAAAAAGGCATTAAATATGAATGCAAGTCTTCAAAAGGGTAATAATAATTTGTTATGAATGCATATATCCTCTTCAGTTTTAAGTGTACTCTGAAGATGCCTTATTTCTAAAGAAGTTTAGGTTAAAAATATGCCTCTTCTAATCCTAACAGGATTTTTTAAAAACTATGTTACATGAACCAAATGTATTGGAACTTTATCATTAACATCTTCAGGCTGCTGAGGAAGTAGGGAGTTGATCATAACAATGTCTTTCAAAAATGTTAGATCCCATCGCACAGGCATGTTGCTCCATGAGCAGTACTCGGAGAGCTGAAATGTCTGACAGTCCAGATCCCAACTGATACACTTAAAATAACTCTGGTAAGTGGGCACAAATCCATTCTAGAATGTTCCATAATAGACACCAGTTTTGAAAAGTGAGTACAAGGTCCAAGGATAGCCAATTTATTCTTATCTTTTTAAAAGTATTAGTATCATACTATTGATTTCTTAAAAACTGAAACTTGGGACATTTAAAAAAATGAAAATTAATAAGTAATGGGGCAAGAATGGGATCAAGTAGAAGGAGGAAGCAACCTGTCACTGTCTTTGTCTATATAAATCATTTTCTGGGAGCAGAAATGACAAAAATCTAGGAGGAGAGCAAGTCTATCACACATGAAATCTGCCTCTGTTTGAGTGCTACAGACTAAAAGTTGAAATCATATTTAGAAGTTTTATATTACATTATATCTGCACTAAGACATGTCATAGTATCTGAGGTATTGGCAAAAGAGAGAGGTTTAAATGGTTTTCTGAATGCTGCCATGTTCAGATTTGAGCAGATCTCTGGCATTGACTAATTCTATGGATCAAGAATTATGGTACCAGAAAAAAAGTTGTCTAAAGTTCCAGTAAAAATAACATAATTAAAGAAACAATGTTTAAGTACGTAAGAATGAATGATGGTATGTTGGAAAGTAATTTGAGCAAATGGGCAATTGATAGTTCTGAGCTCTTAGCCTGGCTGGATTTTGGACAGGCTTCGAGAAAGATCAGAGGAGTGTTTTGGTGTCACTTACTTCTGTTATCCAAAACTTCGTAGTTACTATTGTACACCCTGGGTCAAGCTCGGATAGATCTAGTCACATTAAGACTTTTTTTTCTCTGCTTTTTGTAAAATGTTTTGGATTATAAATCAAAACCAGTTACTGCAATTTTACACATCATAAGTAACTGACAAGGTGGCATTTTTTGCTAGCATGGCAGTAGTTTCTGTAAATCATCATTGGTAATTGACACTGTTTACCTTCTGAAACAGCTTCACATTGAGGAAGCAGGTAGGAAGAAGGTTCAATCTTCCCACACGATCACAATTTACCCTGGTTTGGACAAACAAATTCCACACCAGCCAGAAGCTGAGCAACCGCTCCTTAGGGTACATGGAGACTGTTCCAGGCAGCCGAGTTCTGTTCCTGCTCTACCCGATGGCTCCTTACACAGAATTCAAAGACCAGAACTCCCAAGAGAGAAAGATGAACCTTGATACATTACACCCTAGAATGTGTCCGTTATGTAAATAATTTAATGTACATATTTATGTACATGATGAACAATTTCAGAGAAAAAATTAAGTTGATAAAATTGACACAAGAAAAAATAGAAAACTTACACAGTGCCAAGGATGATGCAGTGAATAAACTAAAAATACTCATATAATGTTCTGAGACATTTGCATGAATCAAGACTTTGCAGCCTTAAAAACCAAAAGATTTTTGTACTGTATGAAAATGGTTAGAAGACATACAAGGCTACCCAATTTATTTTATGAAGCCATAAAAACACTGAATACCAACATAGCAAGCAACCATAATTTCTGTTTCTCTCTCTCTGTTCCACACACAATCTCACACAAAAAAATACCTGAGCCAATGTTATTTATAAATATAGATGAGAAAATCCTAAATGAAAAGCCTAGAAACCATATATTAAATGACTAACTTACCACAATGAAGTATGTTTCATTCTAGGGATATAAGCAGGAATGCTTGATATTTGGGAATTTATTACATAATTTAACTTATTAAGAAGTCCAATAAGTGAAATCAAGTAATAATTTCAGCAGATGTTGCAAAGATGTTTGGTGTAATTATCATTTTTAAAAATTATGTTTTAATTGACAAAAATTTTGTATACTTATTGTGTATATTTTGAAATATGTATGCATTGTGGAATGGCTAAATCCAGCTAATTAACATATGCATTACCTCACATACTGATTTTTTTGTGGTGAGAACACTCAAAATCTACTCTGTTAGCAGTTTTCAATAATACAATATATTGTTATCAACTATAGTCACCACGTTGTATGATAGAGCTCTTGAACTTGAGTCTAACTAAAATTTTTGACCAATATCTCCTCAGTCCTCCCCTCCCTAGCCCCTTATAACTAACATTCTAGTCTTTGCTTCTATGAGGTTGACTTTTTTTAGATTCCACACTAAGTGAGATTATGTAGTATTATGTTTCTGTGCCTGGCTTATTTCACTTAAGGTTCATCCATGTTGTCGCAAATGACAGGATTTTCTTCTTTTTTTAAGGTTAAATAATCTTTTGTTGTGCACGTACGTATACAATATTTTCTTTATCCTTCATCCATTGATGGACATGTAGGTTGATTCCATCTCTTGGCTATTGTGAATAGTGCCGCAATGAACACAAGAGTGCAGGTATCTCTTTGACATACTGATTTCATTTCCTTTGGATATATACAAGGGTGCTTCGAAAAGTTCATGGAAAATGAGAATTAAAAGATAGTACAAATCTTTCCCTGAACTTTTTGAAGACTTCTCATACCCAGTAGTCGACTGCTGGATCTAATGGTAGTTTTGTTTTTAATTGTTTGAGGAACCACCATAGTGTTTTCCATAGTGGCTGTGCTAATTTACATTCCCACCAACAGTGTGTAAGGGCTCCCTTTTCTCCACATCCTCACCAACACTTGTTCTCTTTCGTCTTTTTATTAATAGCCACTCTGACAGGTGTGAGGTGGTATCTCTTGGTTTTAATTTGCATTTTCCTGATGATTAGGGATGTCAAACATTTTTCATAAACCTATTGACAATTTACATGCCTTCTTTTGAGAAATGTCTATTCAGGTACTTTCCTCAGTTTTTAAATCAGATCATTTGTTTTCTTGCTAGTGAGTGTTTAAGTTCCTTGTATGTTCTGAATATTCACCTCTCATCAGATGAATGGTTTGCAAATATTTTCTCCCATTCTGTGGTTGGTCTCTTCACTCTGTCGATTATTTCCTTTGCTGTGCAGAAGGTTTTTCACTTGCTGTAGCCCCATTTATCTATTTTTGCTTTTGTTGCCTGTGCGTTTGGGGTTATAAACAAAAAGCTATTGCCCAGACCAACATCATGGAGCTTTCTCTTTATGTTTTCTTCTACTATTTTATAGTTTCAAGTTTAAGTCTTTAATCCATTTTGAGTTGATTTTTTGTCCTATTTCCTCTTTTGTTTTTAAAAAATTATTTATTATTGTTATTATTATTATTATTTTACATTCTATGATGTTGTTGCAGAGCTGTTGAGGGGTATGGGGAGAGGGGAAAGTGGAGGGGGATATGGTGGCAGGAAGAGGAAGAGGGGGGCATGGTCAAGGCCCATGGCACACCCCTCACTCTGGCAGAAGCCCCAGAGGGGGCTTCTGGTGGTAGCTCGGTCATTGCTGGGCTGGATGTGGATGTGGGGGGATGGTGTGGCTGAGGTCCTTGCCTCCACACCACCCTGCCTCAGGAGCCTGGGGCACTTCTGGAAGTGGTCTGGTGGTTGTCACTGGGCTGGATGCAGATGTCAGGGGTGTGTGGCTAAGGCCCTTGGCCCCCCCGACCCTATCCTTGGAGCCTGGGGCCCTTCTGGAGGTGGCCTGGTGGTCATTGCTGGGCTGGATGCAGATGGTGGGGAGGCGTGATAGAGGCCCTTGGACCCCACGCTTCCAGTGTTGGCTCAGTGGTCATCGCTGGGCTGGATGCAGACATTGGGGGGACATAGCTGAGCCTCTTAGCCATTCCCCCACTCCGGCTTGGGAGCCTAGGGAGTTTCCGGTCCTTCTAGGTTTTATAGGTGTTCTTTGATGGTATTAGGCCTTTACTGGTTAATATCAGAACTTTATCTCTTATCTGTGGGTTTTTTGTTTTTTCTTTTAGTTCTGTGTTGGATTATTCACTATTCCCACTACTTAAATTCT